CACACACACACACACACACACATAACACACCCACAAATATTCCAACTTTGAGATACACATTAGTAGATCTTGTATTGCTCTCGACCCTATTGGTTCTCCTCTCACTCACACACACACACACACACACACACACACACACACACACACACACACACACACACACACACACACACACACACACACACACACACAAATATACAAACTGTGCATACAGTACTGCTGTACACCATTTTCTTATTCACAATAATTTTGAGATTTAAAAAAAGGCGCTTTGTCAGTGTAACCATTTAAAAAAGTAGTTCTTCCAAGATGTGAATTCTAACTTATTCAAAAACTAGCCATTGTTTCACTTTGATTCTTTTTACGCAAGTATAGTAATAGATCGATGCTATCATATTTTCTTGATGTTGTAATAACACTGTCTAAAACGTCCACTGATCTTTGACAACCACTTTTTCCTTGGCGATGGGTGGCCGTCTTGGACAATTTCAATTGTATACATTGAATTTACTATTTACTCTACAATATATGAGCACACACAAAAACACTAACACACACACACACACACACACAAACACACGCGCACGAACACACACACACACAAACACACACACACACACACACACACACACACAAACAACACACATCAGAGGTCCTGCTGCTGCAATTGCTACAACTTCTTTAATCAAACGCCTTTTTCTTCTTTGTGTGATATTATATCTTTTCTTTCCCTCTGTTGTTTCTGTCTACCTGCCTTATTTCTTCCCTGCACTATATTTGACTTTATTGAATCAGTGCTTCTCTTTACTGTCGCTAATCTGAGAGGCATCGGTTATCTATAATAATGGTTAGGCTACCAGACTCGTTATCCTGAGGTTGCGTGTTCGGGAGTTCAAGCCTCAGGCCAAACACTGTGAACTAGGGAAAGGCACTTTACACGAATCTTCGTCTCTTCACCCCGGTGGGTCATAGACAGTGAAAGATCTTGTCTGTATGTTAGTGTTTTATCACCTACAAAAATGACAGCTTGCACTCTAGGCCTATACTTCTCTTTTATGTCCATATAAAAACCTATTTTCATGTGAATTTACTGAAAAACATTAATTATTTGTATTTACGTATGTATTTGTGCATGTATTTATGTACGTATGTATTCATAATGCCTGTTTCTCTGATTTCTGTATTTTGACAAGCGCCTGATTTCACCACGCTGCCTCACATAATGGGATTTCTATTTTCCTTTGGCTTTTGCACTAACCATGTTCACTTTAAGCAGCACCCACCTAAATACACTAAAAACAAGTAAGGAGCCTAAGGAAAAATGGACAATGTCACAAAATGGAAATTGTGAGGATATCAGGTGCTTGTCAATTTTCGGGCAAGTGGAGTTATTGGTATCATCATAATTAAAGCTTGTTCATTTGACCATCTTTTGACGAAAAAAGTACACACTTATCTTGATATTTGGGATTGAAGGGGGCGGAGGTCGCCTTTATTGTGACCAGTGATAATTGGTTTATCATTTTTGTTACCTGAATGGTTTAAAAAAAAAAAAAAACAACAGTCAAGGAGAAATGATATTTTGAGTCTACAAGCTTTTAAAATTGATTTTTTCCTCACAATTTCCACTTTGCAGATTTTTTTCCTTGGCTCCCAAAACGATAGATGCTGGGCTCACAAACATGTAAAATATGACTGAATGATGTTAGAAAAGACTCTCACCCTGATATAATTGGCGTTTATGTAGGAGTTAAGTGGGTCGTTGTCGATGTCAGGCAGGACTACCCTGCTGTGTTCATCTGAAATTAGAAAGACACAATTATAGCCATCTGGCATACAAGTAAACAAGCTGGCATCAGTGCACGGCTTATAAATGAGGATCTAGATAGATTCAACAACTACTGCTGCAAGTGGAAGCTAAAAGCAAATTGCACCAAGGCAATCTACACCGTCTTTACAAAAAGTCACAAAGTTCCAAAGCAAAATCTCACCATCTTACTTGCAGGAAACAAACTAGAAAAAGTTGAAAACCCGACCTACCTTGGGATCGAGCTGGACAGACAGTTTTCATGCAAAAACTATATCTGGAACCTGAAGACCAAGGCCAACAAGAGACTTAACCTTCTCAGACGACTGGCTAGCACTTCATGGGGAGCGGACAAGGATGCACTCAGACAGCTATATGTTGGCTATGTACGATCTGCCATGAA